GCTAACGTTGCTCGGCTACATTCAGTTCATACCCATGATAGGCCTCTATGTTACAATGCTTTTCGTAATTATCAGGAAATTTATGCGATTTTCCGCCATACTTCTCATTCTGATAAGCGGTTTTGCATTTACTTTTTATATGATCTTTCAAAACTTCGAGCCATTCCAAAATGCACCTTACTCTTACATCAAAACAGGTGTGTTCAAATAGAATCCTCCAACTTACATTTATTTCTTATCATTTTTTATTGACTATTTAGCACTCATGATATCCGGAGAATTAGGCTTTGACGAGCGCATGTACAATGAAAATACGAAAGCCTATTATAAGGTGGCATTCTCGGTTTACATTCTGTTTACTCTTGTCATGACCGTGTTCGTGACAAACCTTCTTATTGGTAAGATTCGTAGAAGACGGAGAAAGAGAGTTTATCTTATACGCATATAGTTCCAGACATATTATACTCTTTTATATGTTGTTAACAAAGTTTTAAGCAATTATCAGTGTCTTTTTCTGCATAGGATTGGCCGTCGGTGAAATTCCACCACTGATGAAGCAAGCATCAGATAATCTCAACAGATTATTTTATGAGCTTGTTGCCATATGTGAGATTTTTCGTTACCGAGTCATTTGGTTTCTCTGTCGCAGTGATGTGAACGATGCCATCGCATATAGTTATCAAGATTTGAACCAAAAGAAGTGGTATGAATGGTTGTGGCAATGGCTGATGAAGCGATGTTCTGGTTCGGCTCATGATGATGATGATTCGCAAGTGAACACTGGCAAACTACTAGAATAACAGAGAGCGATATTTTCGAGATTGAAGAAACATTTTCAAGGTTTCGTTCACGAGGTTAAAACTTCACCTAGAAATGATGATATAAACATTAATTGCCTTCAATAGTCTAACATTAGTGTTCGTCTGTAAACAAAAGATTCCAACGAAACCCATGTGGGAGAGTGTCTGTGGGTGAGTGGGGGTAGGTGCGGATGTGTGGGTGAACAGAAGACTCGACCACTCACATCCACGCTCCAAAGAAAGAACTACACCTACATCCACATCTTTATCTGTAAGCTATGCTTCGCTTATTTTTCATGGCAACGTTTCTAAATGAAAAAAAAGAATCCGAACTCTTGAAGTAACTTGAATAACCTTACATGAGAAGAGTCAACTCTTTGTTCTCATTCAACTATCTTGATATGGATCAACATATTGTGGTTTTTCTTTTCGTCTTTTATCATCGTTCGACTAGCAAGTAACAATCAGTGATAGGTACTATATTAAAAAGAAAGTAAACTGAAAACTGTTTTGAATAACTGGCGATTTTAATTCTTAAGTATTTGACAAAAATCTTGAAAAGAATCAATTTACAACTTCAATAATCTAAAGGACAAACCATTCTTGTCCCATATACAATAGATTGTATAGCTTCCCAACGAAGTTTTTCTCTTCATCGTTGGAACATCTATGCTCATATGAAACTGTTGTTGTGCTGATAATAGAATAGTTCAAACCCATGAGTAAATTCATCAAAATATTGACGTAAAATTATGTTCTGAAAAACAACATCTGAATCATGTCATTGGAATTGAAGGTCATTGAAAAACTGGACTGTCGTCATTGTTGTGATTGTTCATACGACCAAAAGTATGCGGTCCTCAAAAGCATTTAGCCCATTGATGTATATGTTTCTGATTTCAAGATATGATCGCGTAAAGCCGAATTAATGTTCTTTTTTTGTTGAAAATTACCATAATGAGCTCTTTTTTCTGAATTCCTATTTTTACATCACCACATGCATTATTCAATAGTTTTTCACCCGATTTGATATGAACACAATAAAGTTCCCTGTTTACAAAACAACTAATAAGCCCTTTAAGCCAGATATAGTACAGACTATCGAGCTCACAGAATCGACGTTCTCTCCCTCGTGTTGTCATTTGTCATGTCTCTCTAGTAGATGAAAAGCGTTCATCATGATAAGCATTGAATAAAAATGTAAATGCTAGTATTTATTTGGGCAATAATTAAGATATGGTATAGCAATAATTTTTGAGCAATAAGAAAACTATCTTTGAGCAATTTTATAATATTAAATGTCCAATAATTAATTCATTAAATAGCAGTAGTAATTTCATATTCTAGCAACAAGAAAAAGGAAAAAGTAAGATATTTTTATTTACAATTGACAATAGAAAAAAGAACAATGAATATATTATTGTGTCACCAAAGCTGTTTTTGCTTCAGCTGGTCTCCCTTCTTTTCTTTTAGTATCAATATCCACATATTTTGCCTCTGGTGGGAGTTTTCACCATCATCTTCACCCTGTTATCAAGAGACTAGCTCTATATCATTGTCACTTTCACTATTAGAAATATGCTGCGCTACGCGTTGTGATTGAGCCATTTATATAAATTATATATTTTACTTTATAAGATGGAAAAAATACGTATTTGTATAAATAAATTCTTAACATAAGAGTTTTCCCATCCACTATTAGAATTGTCCTATTAATCATCTTGAAAATTTCCTTATGATTATCTTACACTATGTATGGAATTTTTCCAACACTTTTGATATTTATCTAACATATATCAATGCTCTCTTCTATAGGAGATCATATATTAAATTCTATTGTCTTCTCAACCTCATTGTTTTTTCTAAGTTTTTTCGCATATACTACGTTTCAAGTATGTACGAAATAAATCGAACTCATGTAAACACATAACAGCAAAAACCATAGTATTTACATTAATGAATTCGTATTGCCATTTTTATATGAAATTTATCTTTAATTTAAATAAACTATTGCTCATTCAGTATAGTTGTTGCTGATTCGATATAATTATTGCTCATTTTAATTATTTTAATGCTCAATTAAATAGAAGTCAAATGTAAAGTAATTGCACAACATGCAACAACATTCAGTATAAGATATCCATGCCAGAGACACCCATTGCGGCGCGGCCGCCTGCCAGCTGCCATGCCGTTGTTATTTTCGTTGCTCTTGCTATTGCGCCGCCGCACGACAGTCGCCGTGATAGTAGCGGCATGATAGTGGTATTCTGTTTCAAAAAACTATCATAGCGTTGTGGATGGTAGCTTGTTTTTGGTAGACGTTACAAAACTTCATGAGTTTTCATAGAACTTGGACGTCCACCAGTGTGACATGCACAGACTAGATGAGTCTTACGAATTCGCATTAATCGATTAGTAATTGCCGAAAACTGGTTCTGACTATGGGTGATTCAATCGATTACTCAGGTTTTAATCGATTTATCTGGGAACCTCACTGTAATACTGCTTGCGCGTGATGTACGCATCAGTGCGATTTAGAGCTTTGCGGGATCAACGCTTTCAGACCCGAACCCGACTCCGTTTCTCTACCTCAAACCCGATCCAGATCCCTGATAATTTTATATCTTGACTCCAAACTCGATTCCGATTTCGTTCAATTCCGAAATTTGATAATAAAAAAATTGCTTTATTGTCTTAGCTTTTATAGGCTGAGGGTGTGAATGTGGAATATGTGCGCGTGTAGATCTAAGGGTGGATGTGAGTTTGAGTGTATGGGTGCACGTGTGCGTGTGTGTGGGCTGCATCTTTGCTTCGCCTGTATCTACACACACACTCACACCCTATTTTTTCCTGTCGGAAATTCGGACATCGCAGAATCATTGATCTGTATTATAGTATTTCATTATCATTGCATTACATATTTTGTTACTTGTTGTAGACATTTTTATGGTCTTCTTTAATTGTTTACTTATTTAGTACATTCTAATTTTTATATATTATACAATATTGAGACAAATCGGTGCTGCAAGCAACGTCTTCAGATAAGATATAATATATAGATTAAAATATAGATTTCACTGTAGAATAACAGACTATTATTTTTCTTTTTTTTTTCGTCTTTCATTATTGTCATAGTAATAAGAAACAAGACGGTAACAGTGATTACTTGTATAGATGAATCATTGTAGTACCGTAGTAAAACTAACGGAAGAACAATACAAAATAATATTGTTGTTTTTGTTTCTATTCTATCTCCAAGTTAAATAAGAGCGTTCGTCAACGACGTTATTTGATTATATACTGACGTATTATGTGGGTTAGTATTACGATGATATTTCTCCGTATGTAGGAAAAAGTTTGTACTGTTTATCCTGAGTTGTAAAATGTCTAGTTTAGTTTTAGTAAATTAGAATCTATTAAAACGTTATTTGAAAAATTCAGAAAGAAAATTATTCTTCAATTTTTCATTCAAGAAATTGAAGTATATTTGTTTCTATATTTAAAATTCGGTTTGTTTTAAATGCTGTCAATGTTTTGGAAAAATATTCTAAAATAAACAACAAATTCTTTGTTGATAACTATCTCCTTAATTTTTCATTAGTGTATATCACTCGTTTTTTATTGCAAACCGGACAAAAAAAGAAAAAAAAAGAACAAAGAAACATACAATGAGGCAGAAAAGCCTACTTCTTCCTATCAGCGACACGATGACGCTTACATTCCTTAATATAATTTTCTAGTTAGACTAATCAGCATATAAAGTGTCATCGACCTTGAGAAGAGCTAAAAAAGGCACACCAGATACATATATATCGTCGAAAATATCACATCTCTTTCACGTGCAGTGACATACCAATGATCTTTTTCCTTCGTCGCGAGAGGGACCCATTGAAAAATCAGTAAGGCGAAGAGAAAGAAAAGAATCAAAGAATGCAATAAACGATGTAAGAACGGAGAAGACGCAGTAATACATACGAACATACAAGAAAGAATACACTATACAAGTAACGACTTAGAGTGACCTATATCATAATATTCTCATCACACATTCATGCTTATTAATGATATGAAAAACCAACGGTTGATATATGAAAATGAAAGAGCCAAGACCAGATGATAACAAACACATATGTTTCTTTTCTTTCATATTTATTATTTTATTTATCCTAAATATTATCACTGCATCTATTCTTGTTTTAGATGGGACAAATATTACCCTTTAAACTAGATATATTATTATTATTAACAGGGCTTTTTATCTTGGTATTTACTTCGTTAGTAATAGGTGTTATTGCACATTTCTTTTATTGGATTATATATGACTTGTTTGGTCATGCTGAAAAACGAGCTAAGCGAAAGTTAAAATGTATAAACGATCAAAAAGATGATGAATACTATGCAATTATTATCGGTGCTGGATTTTCTGGTCTTGGTACCGCAATTAAAATGAATGAGCTTGGAGTGGATAATTACATTATAATTGAACGACATGGACATGTCGGTGGAACTTGGTATGCTAATCAATACCCAGGTTGTACATGTGATGTTCCGTCATATCTTTATTCATTTTCATTTGAACTTAATCCAAAATGGTCACATTATCTTAGTCGACAACCTGAAATAGCTGAATATCTTGAATATTGTACAGATAAATATGATATTCGTCAACATATTCATTTTAATACTAATGTTACACAATTGAAATGGATTGAAGAAAGACAATCATGGCAAGTCACAACTGAATCAAATAGCGAAGAAAACATTCTCTATGCTCGATCGATTGTTCTTGGTTCTGGACTATTGTCAAATGCTTCTTATCCAAGTGATATTCCTGGTATTGATAAATTTCAAGGTCAAATGTGTCATACAGCTGAATGGAATAAACAGATTGCTTTTAAAAATAAACATGTAGCTGTTGTTGGTACTGGTGCAAGTGATATTCAAGCAGTTCCTGAAATTCAAAAGATGAATATATCAAAATTACTTGTTTTTCAACGAACTCCACCATGGATTATTCCTCGTATCGATCGACCAATTAGTGACTGGCAAAAAAATCTATTAAAACGTGTTCCGATCATTCTAAAATTCTTGCGTCTTTTCGTTTATTGGATATATGAACCTATTGCACTTTCATTTGCTTATCGATGGCCATTAAAATTTATAATTGAAAAATTAGTTAAATATAATCTTGAAAGACAGGTAAAAGATGTAGAATTAAGAAAAAAAGTAACACCTTCATGGGAATTCGGATGTAAACGTATGCTAATAACAAATGATTGGTATCCAACATTACAAAAACCAAATGTGGAACTTGTAACAGACCGTATTCAAGAGATCAAATCACATTCGATTATTACTCGAAATGGAGATGAATATCCAGTTGATATTATTATTTGGTCAACTGGATTTCAACCACAAGAATTTCCATTGCCTGTTTATGGAATAAATGGTTGTTCATTAGCCGAACAATGGTCTGAAACAATACAAGTTAGTATATTAGATAAGAATTTTCGGCATGTATATATATATATTTGTTCAAATTGATGTTTGATAGGCATATCGTGGTGTAACTGTACCTAATTTTCCAAATCTTTTTATACTTCTTGGTCCAAATACAGCTCTTGGTCATAATTCAGTTGTAATTATGATTGAATCACAAATTAATTATATAGCTGAAGCTTTACTTTACATGGATCAAAATAATATACGATCGATTGAAATAAAAGAAAGCGTACATGAGCAGTATAATAAAGATTTACAATCACGATTAAAGAGAACAGTATGGCAAAAAGGAGGTTGTCATTCATGGTATCAAGATGCTAAAGGTAATAATACTACTCTGTGGCCTGATTTCACATGGCTTTATATATGTTTAATGAAAAATTTTGATTATGAAAATTATATTTGCCGAACATAAACACTCATTAAAACCTATCTTTTTTTTCATATACAACAATAAAATTTAAAAAATTAAAGAAAGTGGATATTACATTTTGTATTGGTATTTCTGTGATGCATTAGTTCTTGACAGTTGTTAAATGAGACGTTTTCTAGCAATTCGTGCTTGTAATGCATTCATCATTGCACCATTCTGATAATGAGTAGATGTAAGACGAGGCCATAAAATAACTCATCCAGTTGGATTATCTAATGTTTCTAATGGTGGAATCAAATTATTATTTACTATATTTGGTCTTAAGTCAGCAATTAATATTAATAATTGTTGATCTAAAAACGATAGATGTTGATGAGCTGGAATAAGAAGACGTCGAATAAAACGACGTAAAATATCTGGACATCAGAGATCCGAGACTCGCCGAGTTTACTCGCCTCGCCTCGCCTCGCCTCGTGGCGAGGCGAGGTGAGGCGGCATTTTCTGCACCGCGGCGAGTACGAGTTGATTTTGTAACTCGCCGAGTCGACTCGTCTATACTTAGAATGCTATTTTTGATGAATAAATGGCAAATTTTTAAGGAAATCTTTCGATTTTATTGTAATTGTTTCTAAGCGTTTCCATTTGTAGTGAAGTTTATCGAATTAAGACGATAAATTAGTATACAGGGTGCCTCAAAAGTCAGCTAACAAAAAGAAAACCGTATATCTCCACAGAGTTATGACCAAACGAGCTGATCTTTTTCTAGATGGTAGAGGATACTTTTAAATTTTTATTTATCCAGCAGCAGTTCATGAACACACGTGAAATCTAGCATCGTCTACTTCAGTACGGAATTTGGCCTTCTTTCCACACACTTCTAGCAGTAGTCAATCACAAAAAATAGAATTGTATCCTAAAGCTTATTCACAAATTCCATTTTGTAGAGCTTGTTATGATGATCATTTTGGAAAAAAATGCTGTATTTTCATCAAGAAATGACGGTATCAGAGTCAAAATACTAGAAAATGTCGTATTACTTCGACCAGTACTATTTGCCGTTTTCCAGTATTTTGACTCGAGAAACATCTTTTCTTGATGAGCATAGAACATTTTTCAACCAAAACGATGAACAAAGAGCTCTAAAAATTACTTGTATCATTTGTCAATAAGTTCTCGAATGCCTTTGCGTTTTTGTTCACTATCCATAGGAGTACTTTATCAAACTTTAACTGTACTCACTAGTGTTTTCAGATCTTTTCAGTGCAAAAAGATTTGAGAGAATTTTGTGAAGTTAGACAGAATAGAGAAAACCGAAAGAATTCAAATAAAACATTACACAATTTTGAAAATCTAAGAACAGAAATTCGTATCAGATTACACAAACCCAAAATCTCTAGTTTATCTTTGGCAGAAATGTGACTTTTCCTCTTTTAAATGAATGATAATAATAATTCTAAGTGATGCTATCAAACCGTTTATTGATGAATAAAAACTTGGAAATATCCTCTACCATTAGGCAAAAATCAGTTCATTTGATCATAATCCTGTTCAGATGAGCTGTTTTCTTTTTGTTAGGTGACTTTTGGCACACTCTATATACACATATGTTCAATTATTCAGTCTAGTCCAACTATTGCACTGATGTAGTTCACAATGCATTGTTTATATGCAGTAAAAAAAAAATGATTGTTATTTATTTGATTCTCATTTATATCTTTGTCTTTTTGAACTTATTTAAAAGTCTAAAATGTTCTTTATTTGATTCTATAAACTAAAAAGATAGTGATTGTTATGGGTGGTTAAGAAACTGCCTAAAAATAACCATTTTGTTATAAACTCTAGGCGAGGCGAGGCGAGGCGGGGCGAGTCGGAGTCTAAAAAAGGCGAGGCGAGGCGAGGCAGCGATGAGCAACTCGCCAGCATGGCGAGGCGGTGGCGAGTCATTTTTTTGACTGACTCGCGGATCTCTGCTGGACATCTTCTATGTGGAATTAGATTTAATTCAGTTTGTTGTTTGTTCAAGAAGTTGAGGGTATAGGCGTGTGTGGGTGGGAGTTGTGGGTGGAGTATGCGTGTGGGGTGAGTGTGAATGCAGTTTTTGTTTCTCAGAAACGCACATCCACACCTACACTCACTCCGTTTTTATATCTATTTTGGAATACATCTGTTCATTATCCTTAACCTTAACCTATAGAGCCCCAATATGGAAGTAGGTGATAGCTTCTAATGAAGTGTTATTAATATACTGCCTTGATTCATATAGAAACTATGTCGGTCACGGTTTGTGATGGATGTAAGTCTGAATATAAGATTAGCGCATCAAACCACAAACCTCTCATGAGCACTCACGCCCACGCCCATACTCTAAACAAGTAAGACAGACTGTTGAACAGCACTTATCAGCAGTTATTGATATTTTTGATGTGATGGTACTCTTTTGATGAAGGAAAAACGCAGCAAGGTAAAAAAAAAAGTACCCCTATGCCTCACTCACGTTGTCGTCACATGAGCATTGCTATTTATTTGCTTTTTTTGTTGCATGTAAACTGCATGGTTTCGCACACATTCTTGACGAAGAATATGCTTTCGAAATAAATCATTTTCTTCGTTTCATCTATGAAATCAAAGATGATTTTACTGAGTATAAAAACTTTAGTACTCGCACGAAGGTTCTCTGAAAAATGTTGACTTTTTAAACATGTCGAAATTCATTCAGTTCTGTGCACAGCTTCTATTACTTGGAACATATAACACTTGATGTCCACAACTGAAGTTGTGGACGTGAGCGAAGAGAAGATCGACACCAACCCATCTACACACACTCACATTTACACTCTATACATAAAGCAAATCACCTCATATGCGTTTCTTTTCCTTCTTTCTTACAAAAACATGAGATTTTAACCATCATGTTATTGGTGTGAATGTTCCCTTGTTATGATTCATTTCGCGTTCCATTTACTTCTAACCTCCTTTTTTTTCTTCACTTGCACTTCGCTCGCTACCAATAATGTTGACGCAGTTTTTTTACTTGTTTTTACTCACATTGAAGTGAAGTGTTCGATTATTCGCAACCACAGTGCGTAGAGTTTTTCTTGAAAGGTTTCATTCTGAATCTAGATTTTAACTTGATAGTTCAGGGTCTAAGTAGATCTCGATGATATCAAATAGTCAACAATATAACTCTTTTTCAGAGCATTTGAAAGTTTTTCATAATAATGAGGACCAGTGAATACAGTGTCTCGAATAGTAATAACACATCTTTTTCGAAACAATCTTTATCAAATCTACCAGTCAAATTAATTCATCACATTTTCGACCATTTTGATATATATAGAATCCTTCATTCAATTTGTCCTGTATGCAAACAACTATATGCGGCTGTCAGCACTTATCATCGATTTGCACTCAGCGTCAAGTTGAGCTGCTCTGCTTGGAAGAACGATCTATGGCGCCGCATGCAACCAGAAAGTATCAAGTAACTACATTTGTACGCTTACCACACTGATAGCCTTCATGAAATTCGCTTTTTTCTTCTGCATTTTGATGTTAGTCGACTTACTTGGCTTCATTCATTGATTTGTCACCTAAGCAATGACAGTTTAGAGTTACTACTGCAAAAGTTAAATATTGGCTCTCTAAACTCATGTTCATTCACAATAGTTGAGAATGAACATGAAAAAATATAGAATACCGTCTGTTCAATGATAGCGCGATGCGATCTACGAAATTTACGTTTAAATGGTTTCGATTATAGCATGCAATACAGATCTAGGCCAGTTCAATGCAAAGTAGAGCACCTCAGTGTTGAGAAATGTATCTACAACGAGTACCCTGACATTGTTCAAGAGTTAAGCCGTTTAACAACACTCATCATAAAAGAGTGCACTTACTCGAGAAACCAAGACCTACATCTTTCGATCTCTTCATCAGTGTTTCATTCACTATTGACATCTTTGATAATCTACAATTTTTCAATATCTGACGAGCATCTTGAATCATTACTTTCATTCACACCATTACTACTGTCCGTCAAATTGCGCTCTTGCAGAAGGACGTTTGACGCTGTGTTCGATGGTCATCAATGGAAACAAGTCATTCAGAATAAACTACCTTTTCTGAATAGATTCGAATTCTTTTTCTCTTACAAATATCGAATGTCCGATCCAATCATTGATATTGATTCTATCGTAGCTTCCTTTCGAAGACCATTCTGGTTCAAGAAAAAGAACTAGTTTGTTTGTTGTGACTATTTTCTATTTGATAATACTATCTGGTTGCATACCATACCAACTAGCATACCTTATAATGGCGACGGCTTCGGCAATATCAAGAATCCTAAACGATGTGCATTGTCATCAGAAAGCAATGTGTATCGTCTAATCCAACAAGAATTGAATAAAAAGAATGTTATCGAAGAAGATGAGGTATGTAGAAAAAATATGACTGAAAACGGAAATGACCGTTGTCTTTAGTTATTAACAGTTTAATATGGTTTCTTCTTATCAGACAGCTTCTTTCCTACGCCTGTGCACATAACAATAATGTTCTCATTATCAGATTATCATTGAGAAAAGCATTTTTTTGCTTATTAATTTCACGTGAAAAGGACTCTGCATGTTAGAATGGAAAATCTGTCTTTCTCTACAATTTTTTCTAAATAGATTACAGCATGAAAGATCATGTTATTCAGGACAATTCGATATGGTAGATTCAACTTCTGGCAATGATCACTATCTGGTATGATTCATCGACAGGAATATCAGAAATACATGCATATTGAAAAATTAAGCTGAACAGACGTTTTCTATTCATTAACATGAGTGATATAGAATATAGTGGTTAGATGTGCCTTAATTCTCTCGACAAGACATGCATACCCGCTTGATGAGTTTTCTTTTTTGCGATAAGATATATATGGATTAGAATACAATACAAACAACATCACTGCTAGTATCCCCTGATATAGTGATAGATTTTTTTTGTAACAAAACTAAATACATTCGTGAAATTTTCTCAAAATTCCGCCAATATTTCGTGAC